GCCGGATAGCGTCCCCATCCTTCACAAAATGCAACCTCTCCCTACATCCCGGCTTTGTGCTGATCCTAGCGTTCACATTCCTTGGGCTGAGCTGACCACGCCCCAACTTGTGTGAGACACCCCAATGACGCAACATCTGTGAGGGTTATCCCTCCAGCTCACCAAACCGCAGCTCAAACAATAGGTCTGGCAAAATATTAAATTGATTAATTCATCGACAAAAAATGCCAACTAGCTGCGACAAACCGTGCGCCGTAAAAAAGAGCAGCAACAACAACAACAGTTCACAACTTGTCCTGAATGAAGACCTATCACTTCACATGTTCATATATTTGGGGGCAAGCTTGCTCACAAACCCAGACCTACACCTCCACATGAGCTCCAGTCTGAGCTGCAGCCATATACGCATCATGCGCTATGGAATGAGCCTCTTGCCACGACACACCGTGTGACCAAATCGATGCTGCAGCACCATCAATGACGGTACTGGCATGAGCGGATCGGAAACGTGCCAATTCAGCACGCGGCAAAGGATTCACGGCGAGCATCCTGGCCGGCGTTGGTACCTGCAAATCACACGAAGTAGCATGAACGAATGTCAAACCTCTTTGTAGGGCACCGGTCTATAATCAGTGACTTGGTTCATCCCGGTCAAGTCTTGGGCAGGCCCAACAGACGGGCCAAGCGATGGCAAAGACCTTCGCATTTTCCAAAAAGAACTCAAGCCGACTCCAGCCGGCAAAATGCTAAAACACCACCGGACCACAAAGTGTGCAATTGAGTTTCAGGCCAATCAACTTTCAGCAATGGGCCGACCTCCCACTGACCACGAGCCCATCGTTCCAAGCAATCAGCCGCTCTACCCATGTTGAAAGGAGGGCTTCCTGGGAACAACTCAAGGTCACTCAAGACACACAACACTTAAATACCAAAGCTGACAGTCGCATAATTTGTGCATACTTGACCATATCATCGCAGTTTGAAACTGTTTGTGCCAGCTCATTGGGCGCAACTGGCAAAAAGCTACCAGTGTTAACAAGTCAGCCAACAAGAAACCTGTGGAATCAATCCAAGGTGGGTGAAGTGTGACAAGCAGGCCTGGGACTGTCATGCCACGAGATTGATCACCCACAGAGGCTGGAAGGTACAGCAAACACTCAGGCTTGAAGGTAGCGTCTGAGAGAAACTGCTTGGTCCTGCGGGTAATCAACTGGGTAATCACAAACATGTCTAAACACAACATCGCGATGACCAAAAGGCACAGCTCGACGACGCCAAAATTTGGTGTCCAGTGAAGGATGTCCAATGTCGAGGCCTGGGTGCACGTTGTGATGTCCAGTGTTAAGTTACATGTTGTACATGTTTGTTGTGATGTCCAACGTTGAGACAAGCTATGCAAATGCTGTGACAGCCATTATCCCACCTAAGTCTTCATGCCTGTCCAGCGCCCAAACATGGGCAGATCCACTTCCTCCGATTCCAGTGATTGTGTTGCCACGTTGGGTGTGATGAAGAAATGTCTTCCTGAAACAACCACTTTCATAGTGTCGTTACAACCAGGTAAGTTTCCAAAACAAACTTTGTCAAACATGAACCAGCCGAACAATACAAGACGGAATCATCATCACCTAGATTCCAGTCACGGACTCGGTCCACCATAGCCATCTGGAAGTGAGGTTCGTTTGGTCTGACATCACCACGGCCAAGGTAAGCGGACAAAGCGTCGATGTAATCGAAGGGAGTGTGCTGACAATCCTGCTCCAACAGCTTGGCAGCTTGGCAAAATTTGCAATCAGAGAACCAATGCCCTCGTGTATTTCCGCACGTCTCAACTTTCCGTGGCATACGAGCATGGACAAGTACCTGACCAGGGCATTGTTCTTGATCTCCTTCGGTCCATTGTCTCCTTGGATCAGGAGCTCTGGTCCGCAGCCATCCACATTGCGCTCCCTGAGCCTTTCCAACATTCTGGCAATCAGCTCAATGGAGTGGGAACTGTCAGAATGAACACCTGGCACGGAAAGGTGAACCATAGTATCACGCCCATGGCAAATGATTGCCGTAGCGGTCAGCTTGGGGCGGATCATCCTGGCGAATTCCTTGCGTGCCTTGCGGCCAAACAAACTTGGCAGCGTCCATAGAATCGACAATGCATACGATGGTGCTCGGCGTAGAGGAAGCTGAGAGGCTTCAAGAAAGAGAGCGTGAGCGCCAGTAACAAGTCCCGTCCAAGTACTGCTTTTGCCTGTGTTCATCCAGAAGCCTGAGCTGCTCTGCTCTTGCCGCGGTGCATCTGGCCAGCTTGCGCACCATGAGTTTGAAACGGATGCAGACAGAGCATTTTGCGCGCTGGTTCCTGCCACGAATCTTCAGCGCATCACCGAAGTGAAGCTCCCACACCTAAGGACCAAAAGGTAAACATCAACTGTTTAGAGCAACTTAGCCAACAGTTGGCTGTAAACAAGTTTTGAGTCTGGCATAGTGTTACTGTGTTACTGCTCTGTTGTGTGGACCAGCATTTGTTGTTGATGCGTTGGTGCGTGTAACATGTTGTAGCTGCATGCACTGAGGCCGCAGCTGTGGTGAAGAGCTTGTAACTGCATTTTAGGCCAGGATGCTTACTGCGTAGCATGGCCAAATATTCACAGAACGACCCAGGTGGCAGCGCCTTCTCTACCATGCCCGTAGCCCTTTGAATGATCTTGTCATCACGCTTCTTGATGAGTCGTGGCCGCTTTGAGCAGCACCTCGACTCCGGCATTGGCTCGGCCAGTGTCGTGTGAAGTTCATGTAGAAAGTCATGAACTATTTGCCTCTTGTCAGTCCAAGCTGTGAACTCACGAGTAGAGTAGCGCAAATCCAATGGGCAATCTATGTCTCCATTTCTGACGGCTGTACTAAGACGAGCGAACCTGTCTGAACCCAATCGCAGTAATCTTTTGTAAGCCTGCTGACACGCGGGATGGCCCAGGACTTGCAAAGTGTCTCCGCGATGCCCCTGGTGTGCTGCTTGCAGGTCTGCAAAGACCTGTCATTCATGTTTTAGCATTCAATATTTTACTGGTGACACCAGCAAGACAACCATGCCAAGTTCATGTGTCAAACATTGTCAAACAATGTTTCCTGCGAACTACAGCAACCTGCAGTGCCTGGCCTCCTTGTCAAATTCCATTTTGTCTATTTTTCTCATCCGTCGAATGTGAGCCACAAGGCGTTCAAAGTCATCGCGCTCTCGGAAGGGTCTGAAGCA